TGAGTCTCATTAGCACAGAAGTCGCTTTGTTTTTATGTTTTATCTCTGCTACACCAAGTGTTTTCATCCTGGCCTCTGCAGGTGATCATGTGAAAATCGGTATAACCTGAAGGAAACAATTCTCTTAAATTCAATACGTTTCAAAGTTGCACTGACCCATGTTTCTGTTGAGACATAATTGATTTTCAAAATGTACGGTTACAAGCATGTTGCATTTTAAGCAGGGCTGTCTCACGCTGTCTTTTTTTTCTCTGTGGCTATTCTGTTCTTCGACTTTTTCTTCGTCTGTCATTCCAGCCTAGATTTGGCTTTAATCTCGCGCGCACCTTTCAAGATATGCAGTGAACTGTTTGCTTTTTTGCTCCAAACCTTTGCACTTTGATAGCTTCATTACTGCGTTCAAAGGGACGTGAAGCATGATCTGAGACATTTGAGGGAGAAGTCATTTTACTTAAATTGGCCGTGTGTTATCCCATGAATGAATTCCTTGTTTAGTATTTTATCTTAAATATAAAGTGCAATTCAGAAGGGGATATGGATTAGTTGGAAATGCAGAAAAAGTCATAATTTTAAAGAAACTTTGGACTATCATTAACATGGAAGCTTCAAATCTCCATCTCTTCGGCCGGTTTCGTGATACTTTCCTTTTTCGTTGAACAGTACAGATATTAGTAAGCAGTGTAGGATAGTAAAGCTCAGGTTGTAAATCGTTTAACGTTTAATCGTTCAAGATTTTCATGCGAAACCAATTTAGTACTCGCTGCGACTGGAAACCAGTGAAAGAGAGCTTGGCGAATTAAGGCAAGAAGTAAGCGCAAGACAAGTTTGATGTTCATTACTCACCCGTGATAACTTTTAAGCGCGATGAACTTCTGGCGAACCTCAGGGCATGTCAACGAAGACTAGACGACAACGTGACAGATTCTTCCTCTTTACACAGACAAGAAATGGAAGAATTACAAAGGAAACTTGCGTCACGTAATCAAGAAGTTATTCAGCTGTTAGACGACATAACGGTAAGCTAGCTTCACTGTGTGATATTAAAATTTATTGGTTAAACGTTGTTTAGGCCTCGTCCCATGCCAACGAAGCTCTTGGCAGCCAAGTAAACCAGCTGAAAATAAACCTTGAGGAATCGGTTCGTCAAATGGAAATGACAAGTGACGAATGCGACCGTCTTAAAGTAAACTGCTTTCGTTTTCACTCTTTATTCGTATCCCTAAAGCCACACCTACGATCAGCATGAAGACTTCCATATGCAGCGAGCAGAACCCACCATGTTTTGGAGTCGCTTTTGACTTAACCCTAAGATATTGTTAGCAACGGGCATAAGGGAAAATGAAGACCATGGTAAACATGATTCAGAAGCTCTGTGTTACATCGTGGAGGTGTAATAACTAAAACCAAACTGGTTAATACAAGCTATGGTCTTTTCGACAGTGAAATACTTTCGCACCAGTGTGGTACAACAGCTGTAATATATCTTTTGGCTACCCGAAAAATTGCTGTTTTTCGTATCGTCCGTAGCACCCTCATTTTAAATCAGCTGCTATGGCGAGGTCGCAGTAAATTCCATCAGACATGACACGTGATGTGGCTACAGCCTGTGAATACGTACAATATACGGTAGGTGCGGATACCTTCGCCTTGAATGGAAGATGTTAGATTCACCATTCTGTGAATGTGATTATGCGGTAAAACATGTAACGTACCACTTCCTCATCCTCGCTCTGGACGCAGTGGCGTCGTTGTCGGTCTGCAGTTGAAACTGTTAATATCTTGAATAATTTGCCTCTAGTGTGCTGTATGAACGAAGTATTCTTCAGTGGTACTGATAAAATCACGCTTCTGTCTATCCAGTTCAATGAACACAACCCTCTGTCCGTCAAAAGATGATATTCTGTATCCTATTCTCAAAAATTGGTATGAAATGATTGTTGCATGCCATTTTCCCTCTCGATTGAGCATGGTATTTTATAGAGTAGAACAATCATGCTGCTTGTCTGTTATTCACTGCGGTCACGTCACAGCCATTGTTATGTCGCTCTCTGAATACTGCAGATAAACTTTTGGAATTCGTCTTTCGAGCGAATAGAGACAGCTGAACTGAATATCTTAATGTTGAATAACGCGTTTAACAAAACAAGCTATTGTCCCAAAGACTTATCCATACGATTCAAGTCTTTCCGCTAAAAGCTCAAGTAGAATTTATGGGCATGTAGGAAACGAAAGTGAGCGCGAAAGACACATTTATTACAGAAACAAGATACGTCACATTGCGACATACGGATCGATTATGTTGCTACCTAAAACATGATTTACCCCTGTATTCTCGGTTTACTTGCAAACTGCTAGTTTTGAATCTCATCGATAACAATGACAATCTCCTTTCAATTCTCCAGACTATATCTCATTGTCGCGCTTTCTATCCTCTTGCTTCTCCTGATCTTTGGAGGACCCTTCAAACAGACCATATCAGGAATGTACCATAGCACTTGTAGTGCATTGCCGCAGAGTATTGTCACTACCTTGGGTCGAACAATAACGTGTTCAAGCACACAGCACATCTGTGATTCGTAGATATATCAGCCGGTCAGTTTTGATATCAGTTTATCCTTTTGGGTCGCTGAATCAGACGCCTCAGACCGTGCCTCGAACATCACGAATGTTGTGCCAGCATTTGAGGTTCGGCACAAGATAATTTGAGTATGAAGCAGAGTCCGATGCACTTGACCCAGTCATTAATATCATTCGCCTGCATCTTCTTCTTCCAGGTCGCGCGAATAGTAGTTGTATCGCCTTTCTTTCCAGACAAATTCGCAACAGGTGCCTAAACCATCGCGGCTGTAACTTCTCAGTCTGAAGAAGCAACTGCTGTATATCAAGGCTCTCTCAGATTTTTGTACTCCTGACCATGTTGATACGCGTAAGTCCAGCGACTCCTCTCACAAAGCCAGTATAAAACCCCTTGTACCTGTGATCGAAGTATTTCATTTATGGCGTACGATTTATCACCGTAAGTGAGCATGAGAATAAAGATCGACTTGAATATCGAGAGCTTAGTCTTCAGATTCATCTCTGCCTTACAACGGTTCATTCAGAAACTTAAGATTGCCGCTGGCCATTTCGAATCGTTGGTCGATCTCTTCCTCCAGTTTTCTATCACTACTAAGCACGACCCTGAGGTACGTGAACTTCTCCACCTGTTTCATTGCTTCTATGTTTATTTAAAGAAGCATACCCTCATTGTATTGTCGAATAAAAAACTTCAGCATATATTAATTTATTTATGGCAGTTTTCTTTGACACAATACAATGAGGGTGTTTTGTCTCAGTGCGCTGTGACGCTGTAGCACCATTGAATCATGCCTACTGAACTTTCTCCTATGTCACTAGGAGCAAGGAGATGGTGAAATAACGTCGTTCAAACGCGAACAATTGATAGGAGACCACTATTTTTACCTGCGTTGTTGAAAACTGGCACTTTGTTAGTTAATCCGAAATACATACCTGGCTTGAACTTTAACTCTATAAAATTACGGACAGAAGTTTATCGGTAGATGTTTGAACTTGTTTTTGTTCAGCTGAACATAGTAATAGTTTTCATCGATGTACTGGAGGTGTTTTCTTGTCGCTGCGCCATGCCATGCTTAATGTGTCCCTCTGACCGGTAAACGCTGTAGACTGCGCGACTACTAAGTGCAAAACCGGAGAATTAACTGGACATTGAAATGTTTTATTCTTGATTTTTGCTTTAAGAGTTTAGAAATACTTTTTAAAATATAAATCTACGTCCTCATTTGCCATCTATGATTTGATGAATTAATTTTCAGAACGACTTAGACAAGGCTCATCAAGCAATAGAAATTTTGCAGACGGAAAACGCTGAGATGAAAAGTCAGGTAAATACCTCGTTATAAAATTTATTCCTTTGCATGGATAGATTTTGTTTACAGCTCGAATCGCTCGAAGGCTTACAGCAAAAGGAGGCAAAGATTGACAATGAAATAATGGATATCGTTGATGATAAAATCAAAGAGTGGAAGGTAAAATTTTGACCGTAAAGCTGTTCATCATAAATCTTTCTCTACATAGGCGATGGTGTTAGGAAAGGACAAAGAAATAGAATCTTATAAAATAAAGATTCAGAATTTGGAAGAGAAACTGGCGCAGCTAAAGCTCGAGCCACATCAATCATCTGCTCTGGAATTAAAGGAGGTGCGTGTTATTTAATTGTCTATTAATAGTCAGTAATAATGAAACTATATTAACAGTGTATAAATCAGATAATTTTGAATTAGCTGTTGGAAGAACGCGAAAGGGAAATTGTGTACCTGAGCAACGAATTGAAAGAAGCCACTCTTGATATGGATGCTAACGTTATGCTGATGGAAGACTTGCAGAAACAGCTATCGAGCGGTAGGTTGGAGCAGTTATGCTTTATGATCGACTGGTAGCCTTTAGGCGAACCCTCGAATAAATTCCAGACGCCTCTTCGTGAAGATTGGCAAGAAAAACTGAAAGCATATGATGCTGAGAGACGTGAACATGAAAAGAAGGTTGTTCAACTGGAAAATTTACTTCTTGAAAAAGACAGGCAACTCATGGAAGTGCTTTGTCGTATCAGGCAGTATGAAACGGTTAGTGGTTTCTCTTCAGATTCGTTGTGCAATCGATGAATTCAGACTAATTTAACGGAACTCTTAGAAGGCATATGCACGTAAGAAATAGCGCTAAACAGCTCAGTGCGGAAGACAACATAATGACCAGCCACCAGTGAAAGAGATACAGTTGAAGTTGATTAAAATTATAATCTGAATATATTAGGAATGGGATGCAAAATATTTCCACGTTTTAAAATCTGGAGGCATGACGAACGGCAGATTTCATACCAGGTTGGAGCGGATGATGACATGATGCGTGCCTTTGAGCGGCATTATTAAATATTAATTATCCACGCAGTGAAGTATTCTGTCTTCTCCAGTTCCTGATATACTCTGTGAGGTATTATTAAGCCAACGTGTCTGTATCTCTTAGCCATGAGTCATCGTTGTTCTTTCAGAAGGTGAGTATTACCGTGAAAAAGTTTCAAGCGATTTGTCGAGAGAATAATGCAGAGGTCTCTCCGATCTTTCCTTCCGGGTGTTTAACCAGTGTATTTTCCTACTCAGATCTGCCTTAGATCCATGAAAAGTGCCGTCGATTGTCATTACTGCAACGTAATTGACCTTCCATTTCGCGGTTCAGACGAACGTTGTAAATTTCCTTAATGGCTCAGCAGTAAGTATTGCTGGTACTCCATCTGGTCTGTAGCCTTATGCCTTGTTTTGTTGCTAGCTTAAAGCAATGGCAATGTCGAGGTGCACTGTGGACAACGGAATAAAGCTTAAACGTTTGAAGAATGCAGCGGCTAATTTTTCTG